GTAGTTTCAAAAAATTTTTATTAATAATTCTAAATTAATATATTAAATTTCTTGGTAAAATAAAGAAAAAAATATTAGAAGAACATCATTTTCTAATCAACAAACAAGAAAATAAAATCAAACAAAATATTATACTAGTAAACAATAGATTTATTTTAGATTATAGCAAAGAAATTAAAAGATTTAAAAATAAACAAGAATCTTTTAATCAACAAATTAATAAGTAATATTTTGATTTATTTTATTTTTATTTAAAAATTACATTTAAATATTATTAACATATTATTAATTTAATAGACTTAAAAATAAAAACAAAAGATTAAAAAAAAATTTGAAAAAAGATAAAATCAAAGAATTAAAATGTAAAACTAAATTTTAAATAACAAAATCAATACTAAAAATGAAACTATTATTAAGAAAACTGATTCAATCAATGCTTTAGAAAAACAAATGAGCAGCTTACATGTTAAATATGATAAGAGTATAGATAATACTTGGATCTAGAGTAACAATATAAGTATTGAATATTAAAGAAAAGCAAATTTTATTTAAACATCAATGCATAAAACACAGGTATAATAGATATCTCAAAATCCTAATAATAAAACAGCTTTTGGGTTCTAACAAAAAACATTTCTTATAAAATTTTAGTATAAACTATAACCTCTCTAACACTAAAGTCAACTTTACTCTAATTTTAAATTGGATTTAATTTTTAGTTTACAATTTATCTTATATAAATTTGTTAAATGAATTAATTAATACACGTGTATATAACACTTAAATATAAATTTAGATGAGCCTTGGCCATTCTGGTTGGTTTAGGTTACAGATAAATTAGTCTGAGCTTCTATTCTTTCTATAATATTTTAAAAGCAGAATTGTACTTTATGTAAAATCTCAATTAAATATTCAATAAAGATAGAGGCATGGCCTTACCATTAACATTAAAAAAAAAAAAATAACTCTTAAATATGATCAAAAATTTTTATAAAAAAATTTAAGAAACAAGATTTTAATTATTTATTTAATTTTTAGTTAGAGCTAGAATATACTCAAAATGAAATCAATTATATTGAGTTAGAGAAATTAAGAAAAGAAAATAAAGTTCAAAAAAACTATATTGAAACTAAAAAGAATGATTTAAGAAATCTTGTTGATTAAAGTTATTGTAATTAAATAGAAGATGAAAATGATACTAGAGATCAAATAGTTTATTTTAACCAAATAAATAAAAAAAAATGCTTATTGATAAAGAGTTAAAAATAATAATTTTATTTTAATATTAAAATAAAATGCATATAAGCAAGTTTTTATCTTAATTTTGAACTTAATCATTTAAAAAATAAATATGCACTGTTTATATAAAACTGAAATTAATCTTAAATTACTTTAAGTTTGCATATTAGTGCAAATATTTTAAGTCTGTATTTTAGCATTAGCATTAAAATTTGTTTTAAATACATAATAGTTAACTTTTTAGCCAAATTTTTTACTTTTAAGTAATTTAAATTTTGATTTAGTATGAAATAAACCCTAATTAATAAGTATATTCAAAACTTTATCTGTTATATATTTAAACTAGATGCTTAAAAAGAGTTAGAAATAATTGCAGTATATCAATTGCATTAGTGCACTAAGTATCAGATTTAATTTAGTTTAATACAGTTTTTTTTGCATACTTTTATGTAAGCATTTATGTATTTATATTTTATATTAATGTGTTTTCAAAAAATACAATTGCATACTAAATTAAAGCCTATTGATTATTATTATTATAACTATAATATACAATTAGTAGATATATTGTTAAATATAATTAACATTGTTTTGACATTGTTGTTATAAATGTTTATAATTTATAAATTAAGATATACATTCACTTTAGTAATTTGTTATTTATGATAATTTACTAAAATTTTTGATCACATCTCTTACTCAAATATATTTAGTCAATGAGTTTAAAATTATTTATTACTTTATGAATAATTAATTTAATTGCTTAGAGAATTGGTTTGGGATTATTTTTTATGTTAAAATAGAAATAGTTTACTATAATAAAACTGGTTTAGAATATTCAATTATCAGATTTAAATATATAGTTAGCTTTTAATTTAAATATTAGTTATTGAATTGTATGTTAATATTTCAAAATTTATTAAATGTTAATGTGTTTAACTTAATAATCTACTTTATTGAAGATATCCTTTTATTTAACAGGAGATATAATTAAGTTATTTATTAATGCTTGGATTTATTTTTATTGAAGATTATCACTCACTTTAAAGATATTATAAGTTACAGAAATTTTATAAAGCAAAAAAGTATAATAAGATCCTTTTAGGTTTTTCATTATAACAGTAGTTATACAAATTTATTTATTAATATTTTTTTCAAAAATAATCAAGGCATAGACACTTAATTAACATTAAATATTACAGTAATATGCTGAAATTTTTTTAAGAATAACTTGAATAAAAATTAAATAATTCAACATTATATTATATTCAAAAAGAAATTACTTAATAATTTTTTGCATATTTAATATAAATATATTAACTGATTCTAATCAAAAAAATTATACTAGTAAAAAGGTTATCTTAGTTAACTAATCTAAGCTTTTTTAAGATCATTCTAGCATATAATTTTTTTATTGATCTGTATTACTAGCATTTATTTGAATGTAACATATTATAAAAATAAACTATAAAGAATTTACAGATTATATTAATAAATAAACTATTTAGATTAGTTAGAATAAATATTTGTTATAATAATTTCTTGTATATAATATATAAAAAAAAGAACTTACTTATTATATTAATAATACAGTCTAGATTATAGGTCATCACTATAGATAATAATAAAATTAATTTTAAAAATTATTGAATTACAATATTTGTATTTTTTGTTATAATTGCTATAATTATAAATATAAAATTAAATTAGCATATCAATTAAAAGCCTGAATCAGAATTTATTAGAAATAAGTTATATTAAGTAATATCAAAATATTCTAATTTATACTGATCTTAAATTTTAGTTAATTTTCTAAATTTTGAATCTAACTTTAATTACAATAATTAGATGCTATGTTGTAATTAATTTTACTATATAGTAGAATGTTATAATTTAGTAATTCTATTACCAACTATACTATAGTTACAGTTACTGCAGATCTATGATTTTAATAGGCTAAAAAATATAAAGCTTTTTTTTAAAATTTATTGTTATACTTTTTAAAAGCTTTTTAACAAATACCTGAATAAATTTAATAAAGCTTTTTAATTGTACAAATCTGCAGAAATATAATAAAAAAAATATCTATTTTATTAAGAAATATTTAAAAATACTGATTTTTTTTAAAAAACAATAGTAATTATATTATTTAAATTTTAACTAATAATAACTAACAAACTAAATTTAATATAATACTTTATTTTAGTTATATAAACTTAAAATAAAAAAATTTATCAAATTTATTAAATAATCAAAAAATCATTATTATTATTATTATTATTATTATTGCTTTTGCTAAGACCATTAGTTATCAGCAACTACTGTTTTTCTTGTAATTTTAATTATAATTATATAACTTGTACAAAGTTACTTCTATACTATACTTGGCAGATAGAGCACAAGTTTTTGTATACTAAAATGCTATTTAACCTAATTTTGATCTTTTTGTTTGTACATCTGTTAAGCTATTACATATTTCAGAATATATCATCTGACTATAAGACTCTAAGTGGCTCTCTGCTAACTAACTACTGATATTTAATCTTTTGTTAACAGGGCTTGCTTGCTCTTGTAAAGTTTACCCAGAACCTAGTACTAACTTTATAGCATATTTCTGGTACTTAGTATACCTTATTTGGTTCTCAGACTTCTAATTAAAATAGCTTTGAAGGACTGTAACCTGTTTTTAGTATTTTAGAGTTTTGTTTTCTGAAATCTTTTTCCTCTGGTTCAAGACTTTTAGTGGTCTAGTTAATGGTACCTCTTATTTAAGATACATGCTTGCTTGATTTCTTTTACTTTGATTTTTATTTTTTAAATTTAACTTTATAATAGTATTACAAAGATCTGTACTATCTTTCTACTTAGGTCTTCTTAAATAGATTTCAGCTTTCAGTTTTATGAATTTATATAACTACAAAGACTTATCTTGAATTGTGCCATCTGATATTAATTTGCATTCCTCTGTATAATTTCAACATTGCATAGATGCCTCATAACCTGTTAGTTATACTGATATGAATATAGTTACAAATATCTTATTTTAACTAATCAACAAAATGCTGTTATTATAATACTATTTATATAAAACAGAATAGTTGCAATATTCTAGTAACAAAAAAAATAAGAAATAATATATAGAGTATATATGGCAGTATAGTTTTTTTTTAATAATATATTCCTTCTATTTTAAATTCAGAATTAAATTTCTTTTAGGCTCATTAATAAATGATGTATTTCTAAACATGTTGAGGATCAATTTAAACATTTATGAAAGGATTTAATCAACTTATATTACAAGAATTGATTTTAGTATTTGATGAGTGTAAATTAGAGGTTAAAGTTAAAATTTTATTATTATTACTTGTAAAACAGTTTGTCAATAGGTTCATTCGATATGTGTCTTGTACTAGTTAGCAATAAAATTACTGCATAACAAAAAATTAGTTATAAGAACACCTTGATTGAATTGCATTATTATTTCAATTACTTATTAAAAATATCGCTGAAATTGATATCAATGATTTGAAGGAACATACTGATTACTGAGCATATACAGAATTAGATGAGATTATACAATGGTTCTGGAAGGTTTATATTGCTTATATTATCTTGTTATTTTTTAGAATTAGACTTTGTTAAAAACCATTTATTTTTTAGTATATACAGTTGTGGAATAGCAAAAAAAAATTGCATATATTAATTCACTGCCAGAACATTTCACATTCCTGTTAATAGGTTTAAAAACTTACAGAGAAGTAATGGATCTCATAAATTCACAATTGAAAAAGTGGTAGATATCACTTAGTTGCCAAAGAGTCCTACCTGGTATATATATTTTTCATTTGTTATTGCAAGATTTTTTAAATTAGCAATTTAACCTTATATTTATATTATAATAGCTTTAACTATATTGATTTGCTACAATATAAGACCTTTGAAGTGTAAGTCTTATTCATTTATTTATTCATTGACTAATGAATTTGCAAAATTTTGATAATGAATCAAATAAGCAAATTATGAAATAATCAAAGTTTACTAAAATGTTATTAATAAATATGATGATGCATATTTAGTATAATGAATCAAAATAAAAATTATTATTGATACTTGTATGATTAATTAATATTTTATCAAATATTGTTATTACATTTAAATTATTAATATTTTAGTTGTTGTATGATAAGGTTACATGTGTAATCTCTATGAATACTTAATTAATTGTAAATTTTGTCAAGTCAAGAATAAAAAAAAGAGTGGTTTTTTGTAAAATAGATATAAATTGAAACAATAAACTCACATATTATTTTTTATTAGTAAAAATATATTATGTTATTTTATTACAATTATAAACACTTATTCTCTTAAAATATCTTCTGTCAAGTAAAATTTATTTACTAACACAATAACTAGACACTTGAGAACAACCAAAAATTTAATTATATTATATAATAAAATATGTATTAATTTTACAAATTATATTAATTTATTAAGTTATATTAATTTAACTAAGTTAATTAATTTATATTAATTAAATTGACTAGATCAAGTTTAATCTAAAGGATAATATAATCTGTAACAGTAGCAATAGACATGTTTTTTTAGAAAAAAATAATTGCTAAGAAAATCTCTTAATTGTATTAATTTGTAACATCAAATATACAAAGTAGCATAACCTGCATCTCCTAATACAATACTTTTTTGAGATAGTGTGATTGTCTGTTGATGAAATAACTATTAGAAAAATTAATAATTAGAATAATAACTATTTTGATAAAAGAATTGTTGTTGATAAAATGATCTCAATCTGATTTAATATCTATCTTAGAATGTATTTCACTTTCTGATTCAATATCTATTATAGAAGATATCTGTGATATAAATTAAAAATGCATATTTCTTATAAATACTAATGAATTCAATAAGTTATATAAATTTATTGCAAATTAATATTGAATGATGCTAGTGTGTTGGTTCAGAAAGAAACTAGGTATATATATATATATTTAAATCAAAATATCTAAGCATTTTTAGTGATAGAGTAATTATTAGAATTATTAGTGTTTATATTTTTTATCATTGTTTTATAATATTGAATATTGGTATCAAAAATGCTAATACTAATTTATAAAGTTTTACTATATTTTATAGTTTAAATCACCCTTCTGTTAGATCATGCAGATATTTCTATGATGCACATTTGATAAGTAACATGTATGTCACAATAGAATCAATCACAATTATCATATAATATATTATATAATAAATATGTATAATGTACCTTTAAGATATCTGTATGAGCCAATAACTATTTTACAACAGAGAGGTGATTTAAACTGTAAAATAAGGTATTTTTTTTGTAATGTAATTTTAATAATAGAATTTTGTAAATATTTAATAGTTATAAATCACTAATATGTAAAAAAAAAAAATGTCTCTTTATAAAATTGGAACATGTTTTTCTTGTCAAAAGTGTCTATTTTGTTTTATTAACCAAACTCAAGATTTATGTGAATAAATGTCAAACAAAAACCAACTCATATTAAAACTTATTCCAAACAAATTTATAGTAGACTTTACAATCCTAATAATATTCAAATAAATCAAAAATTTTTCTTAAAAAATTTAATTGTCTTTTCATATACAACTGTGATTTTAGTCAGCTATTTAATTTTAGTTTATATTTAATTTGTCATTTGTAATATAATCATACTAAAAAAAGTTTTAAAGATACTGATTTTTCTTTAGCTACTACAAGTGTTTTTGATCATGATAAAAAAAAGAGTTAAAGATACTAATATTTATTTAGCATAAGTGTTAGCAATGATGATTCCAATTTAAAAGACTTAATTTTGTCAGAAGAAGATGTTACAAAATTCAAAGCCAAGGTTATAATCGAACTTGATAAATTGAATCCAATTCTAGCAAAATGGTTCACATTTAAATTAGATAATTTTGGCATTTTTCAAGATAGTATAGTTAAACATATTCAAATATGCATTAATGATAATAATTTTGATAAAGTTGATATTTAGGTCTCTTATAAAATTAATGGTCATGAACAGACAATAGTTTAGATAACAAAGATGACTATAATGTATTTATTATTGAATGTCATAAGTTAGTAAAGTCAAGCAAATCTATGGTATTAAACATTGTACTAAAGTTAGCTAATAATAAAAAAGTAATAAAAAAAAAATTAAGGTACATTATTTGATTTTATATTATATATTATTATTATATATAATAAATTGTAATATAGATTAACAGTATATCTAATATACATTTATAGAATTTAATTGAAGAATCTGGTAATTCAGATATAGAAACACTGAATATAAAAACTAAAAAATTAAAAATAGATTTTGTACCAAAAGAATTCAAACTTAATGCTAATAAGATCAAAATAGTTGCTATTATTACATAAATTAGAACAAAATATAACTGCTAAATTTATGCTATGCCCTGCTACATCGAAGCGATAAACATTTTTTATTAATATCTTCACACTTATATTTGTAAGCAAGAGACATAGTAAGTATTATCACAATTAAGGAACTAATATTTTTTTTAAATATTAAGTTGAATACTTGTGACTCAGGATTTTATTAATGGTATATTTGACTAATAGTTGCATTACAACTACAGAAGGCAATCATAAGAAGAGTGTACAACTAGTTGCTCATACAACTTTAGTCATTGTCTGATTTAAGTAGTCTGCCCAAAAGTTTTATACTAGCTGCCATACCTGGAACCTGCTTGTAGGTTTTCTATTTAACTATTCTGTTCCCGTATCCATCCACCTACC